GTCACCAAAATGGAATCAGGCAGAATGAACTTGGAGGTCTGGCTGTTTTCACTCAATACACTGTGTGATCCAGTCTTGCAGCTGTTGTGTGCCCAGTGTCTACTCCTCTTGAGTGCTTTGTTGTAATCTACTCTAAGAACACATCAATTCCTATATCCTCATGATGGGGACACATTCCTCGTTTCTTATAATTAAATTCATTTCAAACAAGAAAGAGAAGAAATACTTCCAGAAGTGCCTAAACCAGAAATCACATATACAATCCTTATCCCCACCACACTGAAATTTCTATCTGGATCAAAATTAAACCCCCTCCTTACCCCACACACTAAATGTCCACCTTGGGCTCAGTGTAAAACAGAAAATGTACCCACTCCAATGAATAAATAATCCCTGCTTCACCAGAATCCCAAGTAGGCAGCCCTGGCAATTTCTCGAAAAACCCTGACTGTGTCTCTCCCAAGCTTTTCAAGCTGCCACGTGATGGACAGGCCCATGGCATTTCCTCTGTTAACACTGGACGACGGTTAAGCTGAACTGCATAATTAACACCCATGGTTATTTTTCGATGCCTGCACCTGGCACTCTTAATTTAATTATCTCTCCATGTCTACAATCCAGTGCACACTGGTGACCGCTCCACCTGGCCATCCTCGCCCTAAGTCTCCACTCGCCTGCAGGACTTTTCATCCAGAAATAATTAGGAACACAGGGTCCTCTGTCTTGTGGCCAATTCAGTCGTGAATGCTACTGGATCAGGAGGAAAGTTTTATCTCAAATAAATGGAGTCGACTTGCAGCACTGGTTAAAGGGACAGCGTTGACATCTGAGTATTTCTGCCATATTGGGAGCTACCAAAAAAAAAAAAAAAAAAAGCGGCAGTGATGGAAAGATCATTCAACCAACCTGAAACACTCTGGTTCTGGGAATATTCCTTTCCCTGAAGAAATAATGAATTGGGAACACCCTTTCAGCCTGCCACAATAGCTGTGCTAAGAACACAGACAGGAGATGATCCTACTCTCTCCCTTCATATGGTTGTTTCAATTTATTTCCTTACATATCCTCTTATTACTATTACTCAGCAGAACCCCCACCAATAACAGCACTCATGAACACATTCTTCCTTTAATTTTTTTATCTTTCCTTTAAGTTTTTGATTTCTTGTTGAAAATGGCATCTACTACTTAAAGCATTGTTCCCACATGGCAGTTTTGTTAACAACAAAAATACAGGAAATATACATTGGGGGTACACAGTGTACTCCATGAGGCATCATTCAACTGCTTTCCTTCACCCCCACATATTTTCTTCCCATGTCTTGCCCTCATGTGTATGTGAGTGCACGCACATGCGCGCGCACACACACACACACATTTTATTGAATTAGAATGACAAAACTTTAATAGTTTCAAATGAGAAGGCCAGGCTATCATCAACATCTCTTCATTTTGATCTCTTTTACGATACACAAGATATGGAGGTATTAGGTACAAGACATGGAGACCTTTTTTATTTTAAATGTTTCTTTTCACTCACATGGCAAATTCTAGTTCTTTGCCAAATGTAGAAAAAAATTGCAGGAAATTTTGACATGCTTTTCTTGGTTGCTCTAATTTTCAAGGGTGTTGAGAGAGGTAGCAGAGCCCCCACCCCTGACTCCCCAGGCCTCGGCAGCATCCTCTATCCTTGCCAAGAGGAGTGAAGGTCCTCAGCCTGGACTCCTGGTTTGACAGATGGCTTCATTTCCAAACCACAGTCCAGAGGTGACCACAACACACTCCCCATGATTTATGACATCTGTCATGGAGTTTGATATGGTACTTCCTTCCCTCGCATAGCATAAGGCCATGTGCAGAATAAATGCAGTAACTTGGTGAACTCTGTAACCTTTGTGGGCTCAATCTGTCTTCCCAGGCCAGAAGCTCTGACAAGGGGTTTTCTCCTGGGTCTCTGCCCTCCCCATGTCCATTTCAAGCAACTTCCCTTTATGGATAAGAATAGTGCTGATCTGGGAGGTGGATGGACAGAGGCATGTACCAGGGAGTGCCAGTCAGTTTTATTTCTCCTCAAGAAGGGAGGGAGAGAGGGAAGGAGGAGGGATACCCTCCAACTCTAGCTACTTGTCGCCACAGCAGTATTAAGACAGGTTGTTCTTAGCCTCAGAGCACAGCTTGATTTCTCTTTAAGGAGTTTGGAGATCTTTTACACTGAAAGAAAATGGAAGAAGCATTGCTACTTAGATGGGAACAAACCAGGATTTGGTGTTCAAGAATCTGGATCTTAGTTTAGGTTCTCTCAGAAGCAGACTCTAGACAAGGATTCCAGAGCAAGTGACTAATTTGTGAGGTGGAAGAGGGCCAGCAGGGGAGTAGGGAAGTGATACTGGAAAGGGAAGGTGGCCAGAAAAAGATGTGTTGGCAAGTCAATTATCACTGTGGGTAAGTGGGACTTAATGTCAGCTCCAGGAGAAATCAGAGCAAAATGCACAGATCATGCACCTTAGCTTTTTCTCACCCAAGGGGGTGAGGGACTGGGAGTATTTATATACCAGCTCCCATTTTCGTAGGTAAGGGCTCGCCCAGGAAGCAGTCATTCTTCTAACTTCTGGTCTACCACGACAGCAGGCAAAGCACACTTAGGTGGCCAGATAAAGTTGTCAAGCAAATCATGCAGGTGCCCTGTTGGGTATGGCTGAAGATATGGGCAAGGCCAGACAGTCTCTGGATGCTGTATCTTGCTGCTGGTCAGAGTTAGGACACACCCACAAGCTCCCAATCTAGAAAATGGTGCCTTCATACCTACCCTTTGCTGTGGTGAGAATGAAGTCACATGATGCCTCTTAAAGGCCTTTGCAAAGTATAAAGTGCTATAAAAGCATTAGCTCTCCCAGTACACAGCAGTGGCTGGGAACTCAATGTGTTCCCAGAGCTCAAGGAGAGATGGAAAGGGGCGCAGGCTTTGTGTCTCCATGTCTCACAACTGAGCACAAAGGGGAGGTTCATTCCTTAGTCAGGATTCCACTCGTCTGGAGGTGCAGCGGGCAGGCATTGTGCCTAAACTTCGGATCATGAATGCAACCTACTTCACTGGCATCCCAGCTCGGTGGAAATGTCTCGTCATTTTAACGAGGATACAGTTACTCATGCAAGATGAGAAAACAAGGGCAACTTGAGCAATGGAGGATCAGCAGTCCACCCTGCTTCCACCCGGCCCACCCCAGCATGATAGCTGAGTGATATTTTGGGGTTAGGTAAGCAGAGAAACTAGGGTATTTTCCATTGTTGAAGCAGATTGGGACTCTCTGTTAAGCTCTTCACCATGGAAATAAACCATCACTCCACACTTCTCCAATCTGATGTCCTTCTTTGTCAGGCCTTAAGCAAATCAGCATTAAAGTCCCCATACTATCTTACATAACAATGACGGAAGAGCTGATTCAGTAGCTAAGTGACAAACATGTTACACAGATAAAGAATCCCTAGAATTTAAACCAAGTATATTCATCTTACCCCAGAAAAGCTGGAAAAAAGCTCTGACTAACCAAACAGGGACCCAGGAGAGGCACACAGATACACACCTCCAAATGCACAAGTCCACCCATTCCAGAAAACTGTGACTTAACTGCAGCTAAAGCTTTTCCTCTCTCAATTCTGTCCTCATCCATATTCCTCTGGACAAAGTCTTCTTACTCTAGGAACCGTGAACTCAAACCTACCAGGTAGGTTTGAGGAGGATCCCTGAGAGTCCTCAAATTATACGCAAAATCTGAATCAGAATTTAACGCTACTATAATTATATCTTCCACAGGGGCAGTGTCCCTCAAGAATTAGGAACAAACATCCTAGACAAAACATCACCTGGAAAAATGGAGTTGAGCTTGATCTACACGACTAATTACACACATACATGTGGGCTGTTCTGATCACCCAGACCTATAGAAAAGGGTGGCTTCTCTGACGTATTACACAGGTACACCAGTGGCCAGAATCTTTTTGTAAAGGGTTGAAGGCAGGCTAAGAATATATTTGCAGTCATTGTTTCAAGTGTCTGTAATATTCAAGCACATTTTGCATAAACAACACAATATTATTCATAGCTATTTTTTTCCTTAAAGATTTATTGTATTTATTTATGCATACAAGAACTGGGGTATAGGCCAGAGGTGCGGGGGGTGAGAGGATTCACCAGAGACAGAGTGGAGAACAGAACAGGCAGACTGACAGAAATACACTGCTGAGGGGAGCAGTGGGCGAGATGGGAGAGGTCTGCTGCGCCATGTGGGTAGTTCCCTGGCCGGGGATCAAACTCACATTGCAGTGGCTGCCGATAGCTTCATAGTGCGGAGACTTAAACCCTTGCGCTACCAGGGAGGCCCCAATGGCTATTTTAGCAGAAGAAATAATTCTCCTTTCCTAAACCTTTAAGTAAACTGATACCCTAAAAGTCAATCTGCGTTTACATTGTGTACACAATGAAAGATAGCAACTAACTCTGGAGGCAAGGGGTTTGAGAAGTCCTCATGGCATCCTTGGTGGTCTTGAAAGAGAGTCCCAAATACAAGGAAGATGGAGAGGAGACCCACTAGGTTCTAAAACATGGAGTAGCTGTTCAAGGCTGGCAGCAGACCTAGCCTGGGCCCTCTGCCTGTGCCCTTGTCATTTGTCTCTATTCCCCCTGGTTCTCCTTTGGGGGCTGAAAGATCACATTGCCTTATACTCTTGTTCTCCTAATGAAGAACTACTGCTAGAAACCTGGAGTGATTTTCCAAATTCATGTGGTAAACTAGATATGAAGGCTATGACTTCGAGTCCCTACCAGATCTTTTCCTACCTCTTTTTTTTATGAGAAATAGGAATCATCTTTGGTTTTTTTTAATTCCATTCCTCTCTGGTTTTCTGAGTCCTTCATGTCTTAAACCAAGATGGCACCCTCTTCCTTCCAGACCAGCAGCACCCTACCAGGTTCAGGAAGAATCCACTCATCTCAGGGTTTCCTACCTGGCAGAGGAGGTGGCTGGCAGTAGGTCTGATGCTGGTGGGACTGAGCAGGGGCTCCCACAAGAGGCCTCTGCTTCTGGCTTGTTTCCCTTTGGGTGTGCCGAGGGAGAAACGAGATTGTATAAGTCAGAACCTCTCTCAGGAACTAAACTCCAGCAGCAAACAAAAACCAGACCAGAAAGCATCTGCTTGAAAAGACAAAATGGGGCAAGGGCAAGGAGCCAACCTGGAGGCCCCTGACCAGAGCTAACTGCCAGGATCGCCCTTTAATGAAAAAAGCCAAAAAAAAAAAAAAAAAAAAATCACAACGGTAAAGGATTTCTTTCTTTTTTCCTTCTTGGTAACTAAATCAGGCATGTGCCCTCTCTATGTAATTCATTTCCCTTGTGGTCCCAACTAGCCCCGGGCCACCACAGGAAATGATGGATCAGAACTTTCCATAGTCAGGTCCAAATATTTGCCTTCTGATGCCACCTGATTAAATCTGTATTCCCGGCCACCACAGAAAAAGGCAGAAATTTGCTGGTTGTTCCTGTGTTCTTGGTTCAATGGAGTTGAACACGTGGAATGAGAACCTTAAATTTACTAACATGATCCTGTTTCTCCCCGGGGACCTTCCTGAGTGTCAGAATCAGGGGGCCAGTAGGACTCAGACAAAGGAACCCGATTTTCTCACTCCAGCAGAATAGAAAATAGGATGCTAATAAAAAGACAAGATGCTTCTCCAAGATTGGGTTCAACTGTCTGTTTGTTGATTTGTTTCTTTTTTCTGTTTCATCTTTGTCATAAAAAACATATGAATTACCCAGCTGAGCTTTCTCTTGGATATTGTTAACAAGGCCAAGGTCATGGCCTTTATTTTCACATGAGTTTCTTTTTTTGTTTTGTGTTGTTTTCACTCCAATTTCCAAGAGCATCCCTCACCCTCAGAGGGCTGACGTAGCTGGGTGAGATGTGGCACAGCATAAAAAATCAGTAGCTACTGAACTCCCCTGTCCTCCAGTGCCTTTTGCAGTTTCACACTTCCTATTTCATTTTATCATCTTCCTATAGTCTCACTCCTGCCTGCTCTCAGTGTCTATCTTTTTCACTGAGCAAATTACAATTATAAAATACAATGACAGCACATGAGGAATTTATACACAAGGAGTTAGGGGGTTCCAGATGTAAGATTAAAACAGGGTCTAGCATCCCATTCCACAAAAGTGGTAAAAATATCATTAAGAAGCAAGGGCATCATAGGCTATCACAGGTGTGGAGGTGTTGGGGAAGACTGTTGGGGACCTGCCCTGCATCTTGGTATAAAACAGGGGTTATTACTAATGGCGGACAATTGGGAAGCCCAGACTCTTTTTAGGGAACTAACAATAGAATCCTGTCCCTCTCCCATTCCACTGCCTTTCTGAGTGCTGTCCAGACACTGTTGCCAAGAAGGAGTGATTCTATTCCAAGGCAGTCTCAGAGTACAGTTCCTAATGTTCTTTTCCTTCTTCGAACACTGAGAGTCTGTTCAATATGGTCTAACACTTGAAAGGCAGACACTGTTGGTGCCCTGCCTATACCTCTCCAGGCCCTGCCAGTTCAATTTCCACCTACCAACACTGACATCATTTTGCCTGTGTGTGAGGGACGGAATGATGTGCCAGGCATTAACATATACACATCCCTCCCAGCAGCCCTCAACCAACAGCTATTGAAAAATGGCATGTATGTACCCACGTTCCATTCCCCACACATGAAAATATATTGAGGTGCATGTTTTACACTGCTTTCCAGAATGCCTCAGCACAGTTACCTCTAGGGTGTCCTTCCTGGAATACCTTCCAAATAGATGGCTGACTAGCAAATCCTGATTCAGGGTCTGCTTTTGGATAAACCCACAGAAATGCAGGAAGAAGACCAGGCTCCTAGTGATTTGGAATCTCTGCACCTAGGGGTCATCATCTGCACTCAGGGTCAAAATGCTGCACAGGTAATTCAGATGTGTGGTAAAGGATGGGCACCACTTTGGTGACCACCCAGGCTCCTGATGGTCAAATGCTAGATCAACATCAGAGTTGGGTTTCTTTCCTTCCCTCCTTTTTCTTTTCTTTCTTTCTTTCTTTTTTTTCTTTTTGAGCATCTGGAGCCTAGTGCAGTGAGATACTGTCAAGGTGAGCTCCTTGACCCACTCTCTGTCTCCTGGTGGAGAACCCGGACTTGGCATTTATACCTTCTCCTCTCACTGAGCTAGGATGTCATGAAATCATTTACTCCATATGATTTGAAGGCAGTGGGATAACAACATCCTAGAGCTTCCTGGTAAAGGAAGGTGATTGAAAAAGAAACATATAAATTCTCTATCTTTTGCAAAATAAGGTAGGGAGCTAGCTGATGTCCCTTAAAAGTGAATTATAACAAGTAGATCATCCAGCTCCAAGCCACAAGGCTTGCCACACTAGAGATGGCCTTTTAGAAGGCAGGAGCAATTCCTAAGATGGAAAAAAGTTTCCACCAAGGGTGTCAGCAGCTGGAGAGTTCTGAATTAGGGTCACTTTCTGCTGTTCCCCTGGAAACACAAATGTCTTCCCAGTCGGTTGGGTCTCACATAGGGTGAAATATATTTGTTATAAAGTCAAAGATATCAATCATCAAGCAATTGGCAAATACTGATTGCGTTGCACAGGCAGCTAGGTGCTATGAGGGAAATAATACATGACCATGAAGTAGTGCATTATTAAAAAAATTTCACTCGCTTTGATCAGAGATTACTATGGAATTTTAAACCCACGTTATGAAGATTTATACCTCAGTGTATTCACATACTAAACAATTTTGGAATTGCTTCATTTATTTTTTACCAGGTAGAGCTTACACATGGGGAAGTGCACAGATAGTGTACCATTCAGTAAGTTTCCACACATGTAGACAGACACCCTTGAAACCCACAACCCAATTAAGATATAGAACATTCCATCACCCAGGAACTTGCTTGGCACCCTTTTCCAGTCAACCCAAGTATCATACCTTTCACACAGACATGCCTTAGTGTGCTTCCTAGCAACAAGGACAGCCTCTTACATGAGTGCTGCAAATGACCAAAATATAGAAGTTAACAATGAGAAGAGTTCTATTACCTAATCCATAGAACTTATTCATTTTTCTCATTGTCTCACTCATGTCTTTCATAAGAAAGGACAAACATTCCTATGTGAGACTGAATCAAGGGTCCCATCGAACACTGGACTATCCTCTCCCCTTATCCTCCTCCAAACTGAGAGTGCTCCTCAGTCTTATTTTGCCTTTGTCTTTTCTTCTCTTTCAGGTCAGTTATTTTGTAGAGTGTCTCCCTCAATTTGGGTCTGACTGATATTTTCTCTTGATAGCCCCATAGGTGACACTGGCCTCTTCCCGGGGCACTGAACCAGGAGGCACGATGCCAACCTGTCCCTTTGCTGGTAATGCCAACTGCAGCCATTTGGTCAGGGTAGAACCAGGTTCCTCCAGGGTCAAGTCGCTTTTTCTTTTTGTGATGAGTTAATTTGTCCTGTGGGGATACACATCAAGACAATATAAATAGGGCCTCCCCGGTGGTGCAGCGGTTGAGTGCTGGGCTGCGAAGCTGCCCGCAGTCTCTGCAGTGCTGGTTCGATCCCCAACCACCGGTGAGGATCCCACATGGCGCACAGACCTCTCCTGCCACCCGCTGCTCCCCTCAGCAGTGTGCTTCGTCAGTCTGCCTGTTCTGTTCTCCGCTCTGGCTCTGGTGAATTCTCTCACCCTCCCGCACTTCTGACTGTACCCAGTGCTTGTATAAATAAATAAATAAATCTTAAAAAAAAAAAGACTATGTAAATATCCTACTATTAAGCATTTAGCCAAGAGTTTGAGTATTAGTGAATGGTTCTTGCTTGAAACAGTTTTCATGATGGTTGCCATATGGTGATTTTGTTAATTCCATAATTTCTCCTGCTCAGTGGAAAAAATTATTTGAATCTTATTCATTCATACATTCATTTAAATAAGGAATTCAGATTTTATTTCATTCTATGGATTATAACCTGCTACCCTCATTATTTATGTTGATGTCCAAACTGTCCCTGATTTGGCCAGAGGGAACTCCTTCCAGCTGCCTGCTGCACCCTTTGACACATCAGGACTGAGAAATTTCCCTGGATGCTGAGAGAGCACAGGCCTCATTTTTTTGTTTCAAAGCACACTTTAACTTTTATTAATGCTCTTCATTCAATAGAGCATCATTTGGCTACACTGCTGGGGACTGAGGCCAATGGTTGTCATGGCTACCTGACCCCAGGGAGGAGGTGAAGCAGATGGCCTGGGACTGTGGAGGGGAAGGGTGGGGCTCACTGAGCACCCAGGAAGGAGGGACACTGCCCAGATTTCACTTAAATGCAGTGGCCTACTGCTGGAGGTGCCAGCCAAAAGTGTGAACAAACGGCATACACTACCCCCAAAGCCAGACCCCTGCTGGGGAGTGCTGATGGTGAGACATCAGCCAAAGGAGTGTGCCAAAAAGGACCATGTTGGGGAACCAATATCAAGAGGGAGAAAGAGGGAACTGACAGAGAGGCAGGGAAATAGGGTGCCAGGTTCCCAGGGCAGACTTTGGACCCAGGCCTAGTGCTTTAACTCTGCCTGCCCCATTTTCTCTGTTTCTACCTTGCTTGTCTTAAAGCATCAGCATTCATCATCAACGCTTACCATCTCCAAAGGCCAAGCCAAGACAGTTCTCAGTTTAGAAGAAACCCAACATCCCTCTAATAACAAAGTTTTGTTCCACTGACTGCCACCAATGTGTGGCAGCTAAATATGTGTACACTGGTGTGTGCCTTTTCTGCCATTATTTCAGAGTACATAGTTCACCTCTTCTCCTCTCTGGAACTCTGTACTGTGCTGATAAATGATGCTCCTTCTGAATCTTTAAACATAAACATGGAGCCAGTTATTTATCACAAATCTGGTGATGGGTGTTTGTCAATTATTACTAAGAAATATTCCAAAATAGGACTTGATTTCTCAAACACCAACACAGTGATGCTAAATGGTCCTGGGCATGGGACTATCAAAGACCTTGCAGACTTGGGGATGTGTCCCCCACCTCCCCAGCACACCCTCTTCAGAACAAGAACACAGAGGGCAAAATCAACTGGGTCTCACTCCTCATTTTCCTCCCTTCCCAGATAAGGTGTGGCTCAGCAGATGGGAAAACAGAGCTAAGTGGACCACAGCCAGTCTAAGAGCCTGGGCATCTAACTAGACAGCTGTTTACCCCCAGCCTTTTCCTAGGCAAAGAAAGCCCTTGGACACTCATGGAGTTTTCTGCAATTTGTCCCTAGTGGGCAAAGCAGGGTTAACACTGTAAGAAATATAAAGGCAGGGTTTTCTCTTTAGTCTTCTGCTTTTATCCCTCGCCTATTTGCTAATAATGAGGGAAGGCTCGGTTTCACCTCAGTGAAAATTTCAAGCCTCAATTATCTCAATTTCTTTGCAAAACAATGATCTTTTTCTTTCTCAGCTTCCAGATTTAAAAGCTGGGAGGAACAGCTCCTTGTTACCACTGTCCAGAGGAATCATCGGTGGCTGAGGAAGAGAGGGTCCCGTGCGGGCAAGCCCACTTCCTCCCCTCCAGCTCTGTGCTGCCCTGCATGCCAGATGCTAGCCACATGTGGCCACTTAAATGTAAATTAAATGGTCTTAAATAAAATTCAAAATTAAGCTCTTCAGTCACACAGGCCACATGTCAAATGCTCAATGTGGCAAATGGCTTCTGTGCTAAGCAACACAGAGAACATTCTGTCATGGAAGTGAGTTCCATGCAGCTTCGGGCTGACCAATGAACCCTATTATTTCAAAGGAGAGGAAACCTGGGGTCAGGGTCACTCAGGGACTTCACAGACACTGTCTCCATCCAGAACCTATGGATCGTGGTGGGGTGCAGGGTATGTACATCTGGGGGTGAAGCAGAAGGAATGGAAGCCAGCTGACCTTTACCTTTCTCCCACTGATTTTTTAACCTTCCAATTCCTTTCCACTCTTCATTTCTCAGCAAATTGAAACATCTCCCTCAATAAAGAGACTGACTGTTGGTCCTTGGTTTTTTTCTTAACATTTAATAACTAAGTGTGATCCTCCTAAAGATCTCTCTGTGATTCTAACTCATTATTACTCAATCACTCAGGGCATCATGAAGAGAGAGGAATGGTTTGGAGGGTCCCTTCCAGAAATAAGGCATTACATTATGGCAAATATTTTTGAGGGGCAGAAAAACGTCAGGACTCTAGTCACGAGTGATGAGTGGAGATGCGATAGGAGAAAAGAGACTAGAATCCACAATCTAAAACCCATTAAATAAAGAAACTACAAGAAAAAAACCTCCTGAGACCTCTTTTCAATAGGAAAGTAATTCACTTTGGAGATAATTATCAGCTTAAACCTTTGCCACAGGCATGAAGTGTTTTAAAGTTGTTCTTTAAAAAAATAGTCACAGTAACTTTCACTTCACATGGGCTAGGATACCTTTTAGGAACAATTAGATGGAGATGAATTCACTCAAAGCATGACTATTTCTGAGAGGCCATCATGACCCTTGGCAATGAAAGGGGAAATCAGAGCAACTGACCAACCCTACATGACCCTCCCAACACACAAAGTGACCTTGGCAAATTGTAGCTTAAAAAAGAAACAATCATGGAGTAAGTCCATTACGAGTGTTGAACAGGTAGAAAGGGATGGATTTCCTGCCCCAAGGAAGTCCCTGCCAAACCTGGAAGGAGTTAGCAAAGAGAGAGTTATTTTTAAGTCTTGCAAAGTTTGAATTAACTTAAATATAATCTTTGCCTGGAAGCAGGGAGCAAAACCAGTTAATGAGTAATACCTGCTTCTAAATATCAGAGAAAAGTCTGAAAAAGAAGATAGAAGGATTTTCATTTTCACAGGGCAGTATTCTGAACCAGAAAACAGGCAAACTTTTATTGGATGTGTCAATTTTGGAGCCTCGACAGAGGCTCGAACCACACACACACACTCAGAAATGGTTATTAATACAAGCCTTCGAAATGAATCACTGATACAGTCTCAGTACATACTCAGTGTGGACATAAGCATGAACAAAAGCAAAATATGGCTTATATTGACCTGGAATGCATAATTTTAGTTGCCATGTGCTTTCTGGTATAGCAGCCTCAAAGTTCTCTAGTGCCCATTCCAGCCAGAAATTTCCTCCAATTTTTTCCCACATATAACCTCCACTAAAGCCAATAGAAAGAATCTAGAGTGTGAAAGATACTGAAAAATTGCCCCAACCCCACTAATTTTGTGCAGGAACTTCCCTCATGCCTCTACTTCTATAGATCCCAAGTGAGGAGTACTGATCAGGCTCACTGTAGGTTAAAACCCAGATGCACCCCCAGATTTCCTGATTCCAGGGTTCAGGAGTGGGGTGGGAGGCAGGGTGTCTCTCATCGACTCCCAGGACGGGCTGATACTACCACTGGAAACTGCACTTTGAGAAACGCTGCTTTGTGGCTCCGACCACTCCCAGAAGTCTGCTGAAGGACAGTGAAGCTGAAGGGCCTGTTGGGGGCTTCCTTCTGCAACTCGTTTGTCACTGATGCCCAAGGCAAGGCCTCACAGGAGCACACCTGCCAGCACCAGCACAGCCTGTGGCTACACAGAGGCATCATGTGGGGGCATCATTCTTAGCAGATCATGTACACAGGGGCCCTGAAAGCCCCTCTCTGTGGCAGGGAGGATGCCTGAGGCAGTCCTGGGTGGGACTACAAGTGGGGTTTTCCCTGCACTGTCTCCTGCTGCTCCTCTCTACCTACTCCCCCATAGCCCTGGACCTGGCGGGTCCTTAGCTCTACAGTCGAAGGCATCACCCAGAGAAAAGCTGGGGTCCGGGTGGGTTCACCAAGCCAACCCTGGTGGTGCTGATGCAATGTGAGTTTTAAAGCAAAATCAACAAGCAACTATAAACCAGAGACACAGTACAAGGATGGGGAGGAGGGAGTAGGATCAAAATAAGGGGGGTGGGAAGTGTATGGGGACTATAACCAAGATTCAAATGCATACTTTGTGCACAAGTGAAAAATGATATAAAAATATATAAAATAAAATAAAATAAAATAGAGAAAAGAAGCCTAGTGTCTGCCCAGACCCCGGGCCAGGCTATGGGACATCAGCCCAGCATGGTTCTTCCACAGTCCTGTTCCCCATTAGGTTTTGGACACCAGCTATTCTGAAGCCACATCTCTACTAGCCAGGGGCGAGGTCATTGCTGCAGCTCCCACTGCAGACCAGGCTGGGCTCTCACAAAAGACAGGAAACCTTCCCACGTCAGCCCCTCCGCCTGACCGCATCTGTCTCCTCCCTGGACACTCATTGCTTGGGAGAAAATGGCTTCTTTGCAAGTGGGCCCAATAGCCCCTCTCAAGTTGCAAACTGACCCTCGAGATGTTTTCATTCTCCGGGAACTATTTTTCCTGGCATACATGTAACATACAAAGAAAAAAATCCTTTGCTTTCTTAAAACATCCAATACAAAATAAGCGATTGTTAAGGCTCCAAACAGTCTGTTGTAATTCCCTAACATGCTCTAAAAACAATCAGCCCCATGAGGGTGTGTG